GTTTCTCTCTCATCGATGTTTCTAACTCTCTATCCCTCTCCCTTCCTCTCTGTAAAAAATCAATAAAATATATTTAAAAAAATAAATAAAAAGCTGTCATAGAGAAGGCGGCTGAATAACTTTTGGTCAGTAGAATCACTTTTTATTCTGGCCATGGCCAAACAAACAAACAAAAAATGTTTTTTCCCTATAAAAATATTTATAAAGAGAAAGGAAATAAAAATAAAGGTTATAAAAAACATTCATTTCATATAGAGTTTATAAACAAAGGATCTGAATATGAAATTTGTGAAGCTCCAAACTGAAAATATTGATCAAATCTGGGTCTGTGAAACATGTGATATTAGAAGACCAACATGTAACTAATTTATTCAAACGGTTATACTCATGAACCTTAGAAAAGAAGTAGCATGTTATTCAAGACACTCCTGTGATTATACTTAGTTTAAAAACATTCAACTCTTTTCGACTGAAAGAAATATTGTAAAGCTTTAAGCTCAATGGTTCAAGATGAAGCTATTTCTGAAGAACAACACTATGCTAATCTGTAAGAGGAGGTATTTCTGTCTTAGTGACAATGTTGGCAAAATAATTACTCTTGCCATGCTAGGCCCTTATTTTCTAATCCTCTAGGAAAAGACAACATTTTGCAAGTCTATTTCAACATGGTAGATCAGCACAAGCAATTGCTTATTTGCATTCTGAGAGCCCGGTGTTATTTGCACATTTTTCAAGTGTTAAAATGGGAATTGCAAACTTAACATAAAATGCCTTAAAAATCAGTATAAAACCCTCCCTGAAGAAGAAGTAAAAAAAAATATTCCAACATAATATCAAACTATATTAAATAAATATCAGTATAAAACCCTCCCTGAAGAAGTAAAAAAAATATTCCAACATAATATCAAACTATATTAAATTACCTGACATGGTTTTTTAAAACATATGCTTTATGTATGTTCTATCAGTAAGCAGACAAAATATACAACTAATTATTGCATCTCTCAAGATTAGCTGTACGGCCCATATGGACTGTAAACTTTCTATTAGTAGAAAACCACTGAAAAATTAAGTTTCTATTATACCTTATTCGACACAGATCACATTATCCTATACTTCCTTATCAACTACTCTGGCAAACATACACATAGCTATGTGGACTGCCCGTGAGTGTTCCTAAGAGGAGAAGTAGTACTGGTTTCCTTATTAAACTCCAGCTAACAACGTACAATTCTTACCCGCTACATATGACAGGTGGCGTCAGTATCTGAGGAGACAGGTCAGGGGCACTCTGAGTGTAAGTTAAGGCCCTGTGCGAACCTAGGCCCGGTTTGGCAGTTGTGTCGGCAGATTCTAGAAACTGAACTGTAGGAATTTTGCTGACTGGACTGCTGGCCGGAGTCCCTTGGAGAGGTGAGGAACAGGGCGATGAAAGAGGTGAAATTTTAGCGAGGGCACCTGAGAAGGAAAGAAATCATTAAGTCACAAGACATGTCTTTGGAATTCAAACCTGCAACTCTTAAACTTCACCTTGGACTCCTTTGAACTCACTAAAGGCCCCAGGAGTACTCGGGCCGGGCAGGCCTCCCCTGCATGCCACCAGCTGGAGACGGGGTGGACGGGGTGTATGGACAGTGGGGGTATCTTTACAGCATGAGATGAAAGGAATGAATCATTATGAAGACAATTGGTGGCAATGTTGGCAAATCCAGTGAAAGCCTTGGTGGCCTGGAGTAACTTCAGGACAGAAGAATATTATTTTTGTTTCTTATTGTCATTCTAACATGATGTTAATGGTTAACATTTTCTCATATGTTTGCCTTCTCTTCTGCTGTGAAGTAGTTAGCAGCAAGAAGATCGGGAATTATTTTAAATATTAACATGTCTGGAGCAGGGTTTGGCAGACATACAATGCAAAGAGGTGAAATTTTAGCGAGGGCACCTGAGAAGGAAAGAAATCATTAAGTCACAAGACATGTCTTTGGAATTCAAACCTGCAACTCTTAAACTTCACCTTGGGCTCCTTTGAAATCACTAAAGGCCCCAGGAGTACTCGGGCCAGGCAGGCCTCCCCTGCATGGCACCAGCTGGAGACAGGGTGGACAGGGTGTATGGACAGCGGGGGTATCTTCACAGCATGAGATGAAAGGAATGAATCATTGTGAAGACAATTGGTGGCAATGCTGGCAAATCCAGTGAAAGCCTTGGTGGCCTGGAGTAACTTCAGGACAGAAGAATATTATTTTTGTTTCTTATTGTCATTCTAACATGATGTTAATGGTTAACATTTTCTCATATGTTTGCCTTCTCTTCTGCTGTGAAGTTTTTAGCAGCAAGAAGATCGGGAATTATTTTAAATATTAACATGTCTGGAGCAGGGTTTGGCAGACATACAATGCTTAAAATATGTAAATAAAGAAGATACATTCATCAGAGGCATTTAACTTTATTAACCATGGGTGTTTTCAGCAAAATGACTAGTTTGGGTGTGAAATTACTTTGATCAGAGTAATTTCTGAAGAAGACATTTAAAAATGTAATATGCTCCCTTTCCGATCAAACAATAGGCCTGAAGTTTAAACTTTAAGTGTGGGTGTTTGTGGCAAACTGTTTACTCCAGGTTGTGAGAATTTTACAGAACACTGAATTAGATTTCCAATGTTTGAGTACAGGGGCGATGTCTTTTGAATTTCCTCTCTCATGTAGGGAAAGCAGCCCATGTTAAAACTGAAGAAAAGAGAGAAATAGCTTCCGAACAAGTACCTGTTTACTGATGCTGAACAATCTACTGTACAGCAAATGAAATGAAATCATTAAAAGTTGTTTCCGATTTCTCACCACTCCAGGGAAATGTACAGCCAGCAGCTCTCACATCATAATATGTGTGGTGAACTGGCAGCTGGCTTAGTCGGCTTCCCATGTTTAGTTCTCCCAAATGTTTTGTTGGTCACACCCACAGTTTTCTTGGCCCACTGGAAGGAATACGAAGCTTGCTGAAGGGCCTTTGTAATTAAGTTTTTTTGTTTTGTTATTTCTTTTGTTTTAATGTCATAATCTTCCTTTGATTCAGTGTGGAGGCCTGCAACTCCTCCTGGTCCTTTTCTCAATATTTCTATTGTTGATTCCTGATCAAGAGAACCCTGGCCTTTATACCTAACTGAAACCTCATAGGCCCAGAGAGGTAAAATAACTTTCCTAGGGTCACAGTGCTAGTCAACAGGAGAATATGGAGTGGGGACAGTTATTCTTGTAAAAGGTGGCTTATTAGCCACTTCTGTCAGAGATTGCTCATGGGAGAATGCATTACCTACTAGGCAACATTTGTATTGCTCTGTACAATGACAAGCTTTATGGTTTTAACTTTGATTTCTACTTCTAGTGAAAAGGCTTAGCTATTTTAGCAAAGATATTGACAACCCTTCATATAACATCATCTCTTAAGCCAAAAGAAAATTAAGTTCACTACATATTTATCTCAGTTTCTCAACCAACCTATCATTGGGTGCAGCAAGTGTGTTACAGATACCTGTGAAGTATTAATGGTTGTAAATTTTTTTTTAAAAAAAGACTTTATTTGGAGGTCCCAGAAGAAATTTAGTTTTTAATATTATCTCTAATATTAGATTTATATTGTAAATTATATTAAAATCTAATGTAATTAGATTTTATTATAATTTTAGAAAATGCAGGAAATAAAATTTTCAACAAGCTCTAAATCCCTTCTCACTTCTCCCCTGCTATATAACATCGTATTCACATTATTACACATACGTATATGTGTGCTCTGATTTTTTTTTTTTAAAAAAAGGCTGAAAAGGACTAGTTTAATTTAGACTATTTGTTAGATTACAGCTGACTGAGTCACCAGATATATTAGAAAAAAGCAGTATAAGCATTAAGGAGCTGGATGGGGGTGTGACGTATTATAAAGGTTACAAATTAGCTCAATGATTTGTCGCAGTGGTTCTCAACCTTCCTAATGTCGCGACCCTTTAATACAGTTCCTCATGTTGTGGTGACCCCCAACTTCATTGTTACAAATTGAACATAATTAAAGCATAGTGATTAATCACAAAAACAATATGTAATTATATATGTCTTTTCCGATGGTCTTAGGCGACCCCTGTGAAAGGGTCATTCGACCCCCAGAGGGGTCGCGACCCACAGGTTGAGAACCGCTGATAAGGAATAATGACTGTGTGCCCTGTTGCAGGGGCTAAGGAGGCAGTAGTGAACACAAAATGCTCTATTCTTATGGAGCGTCCACTCTGTTGTGGGGAAACAAAAATTAAAAAAGAATTAGAAGAAGAAAAGGCCTTAGAAGAAGAGGGGGAGGGAGAAAAGGGGAAGGAAGGAAAAAGAAGGTTAAGAAAAAAAAAGGAAGAGGTATAGGAGGAAAAAGAAGAAAAGAAAGTCAGGCAGTTTTAAGTAATAGAAAGAAAAATAATGTGGGGGTAGAGGACAGAGGACAGAAATGCTCTCAGTGTAAAATTTCAACAGAGATCTAAATGTCTATTTAGACAAGCACCTGGAGAAGCATGTTCTAGAAAGAGGGACCTACCAGAGGATCAGTGTGGCTTCAGCTTAGCAAGGAGGAAGAAGAGGGTCAGGGAACGTGGCAAGAGAGGTTGCTGGGATAGATGGTACAGAGCTGTGGGCCAAGGCAAGGGTTTAATTGTGGTCTTAAAAAAAAAGAGACTCCTGATAGGCATTGCCTGAGACATTTCCTTCATTATTTTGCTAGGTAGTTGTGAGTTTTTTGACAAGTTTCTGCCACTTTTTTACAAAGCCCGTGGAAACATTGCACATTTCTGTTTTGACACAGCGTACTCTCTGAAGGTCATTTACGAGAAGAGTGATTTTTTTTCATTGCTAATTTTTAGTAGATGCCAGCTGATGTTCTCAGAGAAATGAAATTCTCTCTTAAAAATCCACTCAACGATTAGAGTTCTTAGAACTCATGGATTAACTAAACTTAAAAAAAAAAATAAGCAGACCTTAAGACTCCACATTTACTGCCTGGGATGAAATTTAAAATAAACCTTGAGACAGAGGAGAAGCGCTTTGCTTCTGCAGAGCTGAGAGTCTATGTATTTTGAATACAGATAACAAGCAAGAGTCTTGGCAACAGCCCTGAAAAGCAGGGATATTTTCATTCTGTAGGTGAGAAGATAAGGTATAAACATATAAATTCCTTTGTTCCCAAAACCGAACTACCATTTCTCACAGTGCGCATTATCTTAGTTTACTTAAAGCTTTAAAAACAGAAAGAGAACGCCATAGGAAATGGGCCCATGTTTACATATTAGTTTTCAAGTAGATAGAAAGATATAAGGGCAGATAAAAACCAAATAACCTTTTTAGAAAGGAAAGACTACAAATGAAATTATATCAGACACAGAAACTGGATACTCCAAGGAAATGGGAGAATGACCCTTTTTTTTAAGTTTTCAAGAACAGATTGTTTTTTAAGGTAGTTGATGTGTAATCGGGTGTAACGTTAGTGAACTTTATAACATTTGAAATCTCATCCACCTTTATGTTGCACACTCACACATTTATACACACAACCTGGTGAAGGGATTCAGATAAATATGTATTCATTCAAATATGCTTATCTTCATTTATATTTCAGTAATTTTAAGAGACTCCAGAAAAGAGACTTATTAGCTCATGAACTACAAATCCTTGAGTAACTGAAACTGGTCTAATGTGAAATACTTAAAACATTAAAAAATAAAAAAAACTTAAGATATAACTTTAAAAAATTCTAAAATGCCAGGTCCTTTGAGTAATTCAGTCTGTAATTTCTTGCTCCCAAGAGCATGAAAAAATGTGTGTCAAGACACAAGGAACTTTGGGCAATCAAAGGGAGATGATAAACAATACTGGAAGGAAATCATTTAAGTGAATCCATCTGTTTTGTGCTGTAAAACTCTCTCAGCTTAATTTTAATTGAACAAGAAAGGAACCAGCATGTCTGATAAATACACGCCTCTTTTCCCTGCCCACAGGCAAATGGACAATCCTAATAGTTTTCCAAAACAGAACATGTATCTAAACTATAGAGAATGCAAAAATAAAATCACAAAGTCATAATTTAAGTTATCTCTCATTTCATATTTTCTATAGGGAAAACTCAGTCTAGCTTACTTTAATGATTACAGAAAGATCTTATAAAATCTAATCTTTATAAGATCTAATTCTTATAATCTTAATGATTACAGAGAGATCTGTAATCATTAAAATAAGATTATAAGAATTTATAAGAATTATAAGAATCTGGGAAGGGACTACTACAAGCTCACTAAGTATGAAATCAGAGGAATTCTAAAGGCTCATTAATGGCATAATGGCAGCTCTACATTGTCAGTGACTCATAAATAGAAAAGCAAGACTGAAAATGCAAGTCATATTTCAATCTCCTATTTTATGCTTTAATCAAGACTCATGTGATTTCACCCTTTTATTTTTATAATAGTAACTGTAAATAACTGGTTGTGTTTCAACTATTTAAATCAATGCTGACTGATCAAGCTAGAGGACACACTGTTGAAATGATTTGTGCAAAGCACAGATTTCATTAGTCCCCTCTAAAAACAGCTCACTTATTTTTCAGTGGTTCTATTTTCTACTTTTTGCTTGCATTCTCCTACCTCTTTTGCTTATTGGTTGGTATTTTCCTCCTTAGACTCTGTTCACACTTTGATTCTATATATTTCCTTACATTCTATATATTTCCTTACATTCTTTGCCACATAAAGGGACTTTACCAGGTCCCTTTCCACATAGTTTAGTTAAAAGCAGCCGGCGTCACAGTCAGTCATATCAAACATAACACACCTAGTTAGCTCAATCAACCCAATACCATCATTAAAAGCAAACAAGGGTTTCAAAGCAGAAGGACCCATCTGATCAGGGAGAACTGTAATTGAATTTCAGGTCTCTGATTCTTGATGGATTTTTTTCCCCTTTTGGCAGACTCGCAGGAATTTTAGTTGAATCAAGCATGCTTAATATATAGGCTATTTTATAAACATTTAGCTCTGCTGTGATAGCAGTCTAGAGATGCCACAATGCAAAGTCCTCTCCAAAGTAATCAGGATAGAGATACCTTATGCACTTTATGCCAAGAATGGAAAGAGACTTTTGCCTTGGCTGTGGCTCTAATTTCTACCATCTGCCTTTGCAGTATCTTACATGGGCATTCTTTTCCTTTGACACTTTGCCCTTTCTCATTGAGAGCAGTCATATGAATTGGGGAGCAGGACACAGGAAGACGAGGCTGTTCCTCATGTCTGTTCCCTCATTTGTTCTGTTATTTCCAGTGAAATCACTAGCCATAACTTTCAGCTTCCTTTTCTTCCTTTTTACCGAGGTAAAATTGACATGTAACAATATATTAGTTTCAGGTAATACAACATAATGGTTCAATTTCACCTTCTTAAGTTTACCATGTTGGTTACTGTGATTTTAATTTTATTACCTAAATGAAGAACGTGAGAGACAGAAAACCAAATCCTTCCATTATCTTGTACTCAGTCAAGGGCAGTGCCAAAAGATTTTAATTTTAAATTGCCTCAATTTGTTGTTCTCAATTTTTTTCCTAGTATAAAGTCATTAAGACAAAATAAAGAAGTTAGGATGAACTATGTGAGCTCGGACAATTTACTTAACATTTCTGTGCCTCAGTTTCCTCATCTGAATCCATTTCCTGAGCTACACAAAATGTAGAACACTTCATATTTCATTTTTTGAGTAACATCTTATTGTCCAATATTTTAATTCTATCTTTAAAAAATACCCACAAATCTGGAAATGCTATTATTTATGCATATGATGTTTGTTTGATGGACTCATGGTTTTCAAATTTATTTATTCACCATTTTTATTACATCTTAGACTTCTCTGCTATTACTTTTATTTCTAGACTTCATCCATTATAAGTTCTTGTAGTTAAAATTTGGTAGTTGGTAAAATTTTGACTTAATGGAATATGTCTTGAGTTGACTCCTATTCTTGTGAGATAGATTTGACAGACACACAATTATAGGTTGACTATTAGATTTTCTCGGAACTTTGAATAAAATATTCTGTGCTCCGATGCCCTTTATTCCAGAAAGTTCTGCTCTCAGACTGACTGCTTTTCTGGAAAAGGTTATTTGACTTTATCTGGCTGACTTTAAATTTTATTTTTGTCTTTGATGCTGTGTAGTTTCACCATTTTGTGTCCATGTGTGATTTTTTTTCCCCTTTACTCCACTTTTCCTCAGAGTATATGTCCCCTGTTCTCTACTACAACTATGATGATCTAAGTAGAAAGTCTAATTCTTTTTCTTATATTCTTTAAAATCTTTTACATTTTCCAGTTTCTCATTTATGTTGCACTCTGGGTAATTTCTTCACATTTTCTGCCTCCCCGTTTATTAATTTTCCCTTGAATACTATATTACGTCACTTAGCATATCGTATTACCTTGCTTATATTTTTAAAAGTTATGTTTAGATGACCTTCAATGATATCTTCTCCCATTGCTGTTATTTTTATAACCTTGTATTTTTCTTTTTAATATTTTAAAATTAAATGAAAAATTTTAGCATTTAAATATCTCCACCCTTTTAGAGATCTGTAAAGTTATTTTTCTTTCCTTTTTCTCTAACTCATGTTTCTTGTGTGCTTAGTGATCTTGGTTGCAAGTTCTGATTTGTATGAATTTGATATGTTGAAATCATATGGCCCTTACCTGGTGATGCTTTCCTTCAAAAATTATTTGCACATATTTTTATAGGGAGCCTAGGGGTCCTCCTGACCTATGATCACTTTAGTACTTTTTAAAAGTCTCAGGTTTAATGTGAAATGCTCACACCCAGTTCCTTCACCTTGCTGGAGTCCCACCTGAGTCTCCACAACACTGAGCTAATCTGTATCTGCCCTCAGGGCAACCCAATTTAAGTATCTTCCCACCTTGCCTGTTCCTGGCCTAGGTGAAAGCTCGTCTATTTCTCAGTCATATGACCTATAAGATTTAATGAACATTTTCAAAGAGCAGAGAGGACCTGATTAGTTTTTGGAAAACCAAATAACCTTTACTGGTTTCACTCAGTGATGCAATTCCAATAAAAGTATACTTGTTGGAGAAAGTGTCTTCCTAACACCAAACAGTAGAGATTTAAGCAACATTGGTGCTTAAATGGTTTCAAGAAACAGTCGCCAATATAAAGGGGGTGATCAAAGGGAAAGAAATCACTAAATTTTCTTTCTAGATGTAAAAACAGACAACAGAAATGCTTCCTTAATTTGTGTTTCTTATACTTAAGAGTATATATCAAGTTGGTCTCTTGAAATATCAGTGGGATGTGAGTACTACTTCTCTAACTCTCATAAAAACATTGTCATTTTGAGAACTTCTGCTTCTGGCTATGATTCTGTAGTTTGTAGTAAATTCCTGTTGCTTTGACAACCAATAGAAATGCTGAATTTAAAAGAAAAAACCTATCAAGGTGAGACAACTAATGTGGAGGACTAGGTTTCTAGAAAGAAGAGATCCTTAGCAGTGTGACTAAAATCCCATAAACTGTTCTTCCTTTCAGAGCATTATTTACTAACAATTAGCATGGAGCAAAAGGCTGAGAACCCAGGCAGCAGGATGCAGCAATTAGGAAAACAAGCCAGCAGAGCTATTAGCAATGTCATGAGGCTGATGACACAAAAATTGGAGTTTGGGGCTATCAAGGCAGGCAGAGTTTGAATGTCTTAACAGCCCAGTGAGAAGGGGGTGGTGAGTGACATAAGTAAGAATTTCTTTGAAAAATCATAATATGTATAGTAAATAAAGCATTTCTTCAAGCTCCTATAAATATCATACTTCTGAAAAATAAGTTTCTTTGAATAGCCACTAAGAATAAAATTGAAATTTCATAAGTACATTATTAGCTCTGATATTATAAGATGATGCTTCCAGAGATTATCCTCAATGGTGAGAGTGATTTCCTATTCATCCAATATGCTCAAGGTAGAATATCTGGTATAGCAACCTTGAAAGCATCAGTTTCATCATATAAAGTGGAAATTTAGGTAATTAGTTGGTTATTGAGGTTTTTTCTTTCTAGAAGAGTCAAACCAAATATACCCATGTGCAGAGCATCCGCTGAATCTTATTTAAACACTTAAGGCTTAGTTCTCTCGGTGACTGCACGCTCAGTGAATAGGAACTCTTCTCCCAGCAAGTCACTTACCTGGGCGACTTGGCTTTTTAGCCTTTACATAGTTAGCTGCAGAAACGGCATAGGACGAACTGAAGGATCTGCTTTTGGTGAGGGTCATCATCGCAGGGTTATTCCAAGAATCAGAACTACCAGCACTATAAAGACAGAGCATAAAGAAAAAGAAATAAGTTGTTCATCAACCATTGGGGCAGAACTTGCCAAAACCCAACCATCATTTCCATATTCGACTTGCCATCTGAGTCATGGTCCAGGTTCAGTGATAGGATCACCTTGTCCAAATGACAAAATAGAACAACTAAGCTCAATCTCTGCTGTGTGGATTTAGAAGTCACTCATCAAGCATATGGGTTAACAAAAGTGCAAAGATAACTTTCCTACTTATCCAATTAATAGGAATCAAACACCTCTTTCTACTTATAGAATCATGTCCCTCATAGGTTTCCTAACAACTTGGCAAATTAACTAGTTAAGATGCAGAGGGACTTACATGAATTGTGTTCTTTATTATTTATCATTCTTGGTATATCTAAATTAAAAAATTAAATGCTTGTAAAATCATTCAAAAATAACATTTTTGCAATATTTCCTTGGGAAGGAAAAGGTCAGCTACAGGGATTTAGCCTACAATTTTTTTTTCCTGGTGACACCCTGGGAAAAAAAGGATGATGATCAAAATCTCCTTGTAAACATGCGAATGATGAACCTGCTGCCAAACACACTGATGCTATTTGCTAGATGAAAGGTAACAGACAGTGAGCTTCATTTAGGGAATGCTTTCTGCAGGATAGCCTTGGTTTGTCTAGGTTATTATTGTAAATAAATCTGGAATTAGTAATCTATCGGTAGAATAGAGAATGTTACATAGAGATGTAATTAATGGGATCTATATTTTGGAGATGTTCCAAACCAAAACTTAATCTGCATGCACTGCTCAAAACACAATGTAAGCCTAATTATCTGACGCTAATCCCTGTGCTGCTCTGCATTTAAACCATGCCTACACTTTTTTCATTTCCAAAGCTGGCCTCCAACCAACTCTAATTGGTTGGGCCTCCCTTCCCCTGTAATTTACAATTCCTGTTTGGCAAGTAACTTCTCTAAGAGATGTGAAAAGAATAGGAGCATTGCTAACCTTGGTAAAGGTGCTTCATGCAGTTTGATGCTGGCGCTGCGATCCCGCCGTACTGGGGCCGGCTCCAAAGTGGGTAGACCTGTGGCTGAGGTGGTGGTTGTCCAAGTCGACGAAACTCGTCTCAACAAACCGGGGGGCAAGCTCCTTCTCAGTCGCTAGGAAGAAGGAGAGTCGATGTTATCACCAAGCATATTTTCTATCACCAACCTCAATGTCATATAATGGGGGAAAATGGCTTTTACTTGGAAGCAAATTTATTAAACTATATTGGTTGAAGAGCACCTGTCTGAAATGTGGGTACTCAGATATGCAATAAAAGACTGTGGTCAGAACAAATGAATACTATAAAATAACATTTTGAAATATTCACTTCAATGGTTACACAAATATAGGATTATTGGAATGATAGTCAGCTACTTTTGAGGTAATTTTATAGTTTTAATAGTTCAACAGAATTTATATACCTATACACACATGTCATTTTAGTTATTATGAGCAAAAGATTTCCCTCAAAAGTCACTTGTTTGGGGGCATGAATTAATTGATATCATCTTGCACAACAGTCTCTACACCAAAGTGTTTATTAATTTACTTTTAATTTCTTGACGTACAAATGACAGGACATAAGAGTAAAAGAGTGGCCCTAGCAGGTTTGGCTCAGTGGATAGACCATCGACCTGCAAACTGAAAGGTCCCAGGTTCAATTCCGGTCAAGGGCACATATCTGGGTTGCAGGTTCGATCCCCAGTGGGGAGTGTGCAGGAGGCAGCCAATCAATGATTCTCTCTCATCATTGATATTTCTATCTCTCTCTCCCTCTCCCTTCCTCTCTAAAATCAATAAAAAATATATTTAAATAAAAAGAGTAAGAGTGTAACATAAAATGCACCACCTCTTTGTGGTTAATGTTATTTAGACCTCAGGCCTATGGGTAATGTCATCAGTACCAATTCCTCCTAGTAGGAGACTTTGCTGGTTGACCTGCAACTTTCTCTTTATTATTTCTTCTCCTTTCATATACTAAGTGGGGTATGTGGCATCATCAGCACTAAGGCAAGATTCTGAGCTCACCAGGATGAGCACCAGCATGGTAAAGAGGGCCTTCACCTTAAAAATGAAAGTGGGGTATTCTGCTACAACTGCAGCAAATGTTACAATAGGTAGGAGCTCAAACCATTGGTCAGTAGACCAATCATGGAAGCACAGTTTATAAAGATGCAGTCTGCTCTCCTGAGGATTTAGAAATTTCTAAGAAGTGAAGTATATACCTCTGATACATCTAAGTAGTTCTCCATGCCTCTTAAATATCTTAATTTGCATCTTAGAAGGTAATTCAATAGCAAGACAAAAGGTCAAGCACTGTAAATACCAGGATTGTTGCCTATAAATCTGTCACTGACTTCATATCTATTTTGAGAGCCAAAGGAATCAGTTAATCTCATTCCATTCCATGTCTTGCTGAGCCATACCTTTCTCAGAGAAGTAGATGTTGGAAGGAAACTATGTAAACAGCTAATTGACAAAGTTGTGTAAAGAACACATTCCTGAGCCAAGAGACACAACAGCAAGAGCTTGCATGTTACTGATTGATCACCAGTTCAAGAGAATGGCTGCTGGTTTCCAAATAGATAACGGTGCAGGAGGTACCAGGGACCACTTAAATTCTGATTTATTTATTTTTTTAGTCTTTAATATGAGTTGTTCTCAACGAATGTGAGGTCTAAACCAAGTTTAGGACTTATCCTCTATAGCTTACTTCTATAAAATTCTTAGTATATCTTACATGTAAAAAGAAAAAAAAATTATACAAAACACGAAGACCATTTTTTACTTTAAATAATCCAAAATCAACTAAAACTGTTCTGAGTTCAAATCTTACTGGGTTTGGGAAAGCCATCAGGGTACAATGAAGGATACCATACTAAGAATGCAAAGAGTGAAAAAACTGTGTGTTTCAGAACGCAATGGATTTTACAAAGAAGCCACACTAGAATGGGACCAGGGACTTGTTGTTATTGTTGTTCTGCCATGACCTTATCCCACTCAACAGGGCCTGGCATATAGAAGTAAAAACTTCTTGAAAGTCTGAATAAAAAAAGGTAACGTAAAATTTTAATTTACAGAAAGCAATCAAGTATAAGGACAGAAGTCTTCACGTTAAACTTTCATTACTCTGGTCACCATGATCAAGACATTTCACTGAGACACTGACTTAAATTAGCATATGGGTTCGGAGTGACAGGAGAGAGACCTAGGGGAAAAAAGAAAACGTTTAGGCTTTCCATGGGTGTGTCATTCCTACCTACCTTGGGAATAGCCAGCTTGTCTTTTTCGGAGCTTTCTTCAGAATCAGAACAGGTATAGTTTTCACTGAAGGAAACGACAGGATTCACTCGGGGCTTGTGAATGGCCTGGAAGGTGAGCTGGGTGCTGAGCAGGTTGCTCACGGCCCGCAAGGATGTGCACACATTGGGGGGCAGAGAAGGGTCTGCCAGGAGGTCGGTAATGAGGCCGTGAGCCTCGCCCATCACAGCAATGTCCACAGTGATACTGGTTCCTGAAGACTGAGACACCAAACAAAGGAACAGTCAGATAAGCAAAGGCCTTCATCTGAAGGCACAGAGAATGAAATTGGGTTTGTTTGCCAAATGGACTGAATTGACTCTTTGGGGCTATAGGAGAGTAACATTCAAAACACGTTTCTGTTTCAAACTTTGCCAAAATTTGCCATGGCTTCCGCCATGTTTGTGTTCATGGCACACTTTTTATAATGTTAAAATTTGGGAAGGGGAGGATATATTTAAAGAGATTAAACACATAAACATTAATTTTTAAAAGGTACAACATTTCAGAGGACCTGAGAAAACTTCATATTCCTTATGAAGAGCTCAACATTTTAATGTATATTATCTAGAAATTTCATTTTGCAAATAACATTGTTAATATACTATACGATTTTAATTTTAGTAATTTCTTTCTGAAAAGACAAAACTTTAGCTTTATTAAGATGTAATGATTTAGAAATTTCTAAGAAGTGAAGTATATACCTCTGATACATCTAAGTAGTTCTCCATGCCTCTTAAATATCTTAATTTGCATCTTAGAAGGTAATTCAATAGCAAGACAAAAGGTCAAGCACTGTAAATACCAGGATTGTTGCCTATAAATCTGTCACTGACTTCATATCTATTTTGAGAGCCAAAGGAATCAGTTAATCTCATTCCATTCCATGTCTTGCTGAGCCATACCTTTCTCAGAGAAGTAGATGTTGGAAGGAAACTATGTAAACAGCTAATTGACAAAGTTGTGTAAAGAACACATTCCTGAGCCAAGAGACACAACAGCAACATGGGTTGATACTCAACTACTGAGCAACACCAGCCAGGCATTACCTTCATTTTTATTAGTAAAAAATAACTTGGCAAAATCAGAATCAGATAGCTGGAACTTAGAAATGCTGGGCTGCAAACACAAGTACTCTCATGCTTCAGCTTAAGTGCTGAGCTAGTACACTGGAATAAATACCGAGCCTTTTCATCTTAAGTTCTTATGTATACAACCTGTATTTAACGTCTTATTTAATTACTAGAGGCCCAGTGCACGAAATTCATGCACTGCGGGGGGGGCGGTGGTGAGGGGGAGGGTCCCTCAGTCCAGCCTGCACCCTCTCGCAGTCCGGGAACCCTCAGGAGATGTCTGACTGATGGCTTAGGCCTGCTCCCCAGTCGGACATCTTTAGTGCTGCTGCAGAGGCGGGAGAGGCTGCAGAGGCAGGAGAGGCTCCTGCCACTGCTGCTGTCAAACTTTGTCAAAATTTGCCATGGCTTCCGCCATGTTTGTGTTCATGGCATATTTTTTATAATGTTAAAATTTGGGAAGGGGAGGATATATTTAAAGAGATTAAACACATTAACATTAATTTTTAAAAGGCACAAAATTTCAGAGGACCTGAGAAAACTTCATATTCCTTATTCCTTAGAAAGAGCTCGACATTTTAATGTATATTACATAGAAATTTCATTTTGGAAATAACATTGTTAATATACTATATGATTTTAATTTTAGTAATTTCTTTCTGAAAAGACAAAACTTTAGCTTTATTAAGATGTAATATTTTAGCCTAGTTTGTGGTACCTATTCAACTACTATTAGAGATAAGCACAAAAAGCAACTCAATTTGTGTTCAAATTCACAAATTGTCCCTCTTCTGGTGGTTGGTAAGAATAGACATTTTAGTTCTGGAATTCTGCAACACATTTATCATGTTTTGCCAAACTGCCTATCAGACTGAGAGACATTAGTGTGGTGAAGGCCTGTGTGTGTGTGTGTGTGTGTGTGTGTGTGGAGGGTCCATAGGAAGAAAAGAGGGATGTGCCCTGACCAGGAATTGAACTATGACCTCCTGGTACATGGGTTGATACTCAACTACTGAGCAACACCAGCCAGGCATTACCTTCATTTTTATTAGTAAAAAATAACTTGGCAAAATCAGAATCAGATAGCTGGAACTTAGAAATGCTGGGCTGCAAACACAAGTACTCTCATGCTTCAGCTTAAGTGCTGAGCTAGTACACTGGAATAAATACCGAGCCTTTTCATCTTAAGTTCTTATGTATACAACCTGTATTTAACGTCTTATTTAATTACTAGAGGCCCAGTGCACGAAATTCATGCACTGCGGGGGGGGCGGTGGTGAGGGGGAGGGTCCCTCAGTCCAGCCTGCACCCTCTCGCAGTCCGGGAACCCTCAGGAGATGTCTGACTGATGGCTTAGGCCTGCTCCCCAGTCGGACATCTTTAGTGCTGCTGCAGAGGCGGGAGAGGCTGCAGAGGCAGGAGAGGCTCCTGCCACTGCTGCTG